ATATTACAACAATAGAGCAGTATTAAGACAATATTATAGTAAAACATCAAAATACAATCATATTAGTATTGTAAACACTGAACAATTGAGATGAAATATTATTAAAGTTTGGAGCAGTACCAAGTTGAGTCCAGCATGGGGCAGTATTGGACCATTACAAGGCCCCATTGACTCTCATTATATGAATTTTGGAATAAAGTTTAAACATTAATATTTCAAAAACTACAAGTTGTACAGGTACCAAAAGGCATAGTAATCATTTGGCACAGGACCTTTACAGATAGAAATTACAATGGCAGCTGTAGGACAAAGTATGCAGGAGGAGTAGCGTGGCGACGTGGAAGAAGGCGGAATAAGTTGAATAATAAAGAGAAACAGTAAAACAATAGTGTGCATTGCATTGGCAATGCACACTGATGAGAAAATGATAACTAAAACTGTATAATCTTTTTACAAAATTAACTAAAACTAACTGAAATTAAAGATAGAATATCCTTAGTTTTAGTTTGTCAATTTGTTTTGAGACATGTGGATCTCTTAAAATAATCACAAGTTTTTAGTCGGCAAAATAAAGTTACAATTATTTTAGGAAGGTGTCGCTTTAATAAACTGCTTTAACTAACAAACAAATAGCTGTTGGTTAGTTAACAGGAGCATCACAAGACTGAGGATGCACTGACAAATAAGATTATTCAAACTATAAAAAAACTGGTATCACTTTACAATAAGACTCCCCTAATAGATGGTTTATAAATAGTTATTAATTCATCTGTAAACACTTTATGAATCTTTAAYAAGTGTTTATTATGCATTAATTAAGGATGAGAAAGAAATAAAATTGTCCGGTTTTTTGCCAAATAGTGAGTCAAATCTGTTCATGTTCTTATTACATCTAAAGGTGCTACATATATTATAGGTTTCTACCTTGTAAGCACAATAATGTAATAATAATGCAGTAATATAGTACAATATTATATGTAAAATATGTGTTTACAATACATTATTGTGCTTATAAGGTAGAAACCTAGTCTGAAATGTTTAATGTAGCAGCTTTAGATGTAATAGGAACAGATTTGGCTCACTATTTGGCAAGAAACATGATAGTTTTGTCTCTTTCTCCTCTTTTATTAATGCATAATAAACACTTCTTAATAATTTATAAAGTTTTTACAGATAAATTAATAAACTGTCTATAAAACATTTATAAACTATAAGGGGAGCCTTATTGTAAAGTGGTACCAAAAACTAATACTAGAACTAATAAAAACTAGGGCTGTGAAATTAATCAAGTTAACTCTGATTAATTTTAGTGCTGGGCATAGATTAAAAATTTTAATCGGGATTAYAATTTACAATCACTTTACTRTGGCTGAATATGTAGGTTTATATTGTGATGCACTCAGTGCATGTCAGGTCATGTTTGTAAATGAGAAGTGGTTCTAAAAGGTTTATTTTATTTTATTTATTTATGTTTTGCTGACAACTGTGACCTTAGTATCTATCTTTAATTCCAACTCATTTAGAATGAAAATCCTTGAATTCTTGATTTAACCTCATTATTCTGCACAAAATTTAACTGACTCAAATATGTTTGGAGCA